CGTCGAGTTATAAAGAGGGAACTCGATGGGTGGCCTTAAAGTTTGATCAAAAATCAAAGGAAACTCAACGAGTCACTTCGATGACTCGGCAAGTTGGAATGTACTTCAGGGAACTCTGAGAGAAGCCAAGGGTACTCGGCGAGTTAAGGTCAACATGGACTGTTGACCTTGACTGAGGACTTTGACTTTGACCAGGGTTTGACTAGTGGGTTATGGAGTAGCCTATAAGGTTGAGGACTTATGAGTACAATGTACTATGATAATAGGTGGTGGAGCCCGTGTCAAGTGATCCACGAGTTGGAGTTTACCCTTCGTGTCAACATCTGCATGGTGAGTTATCCTCAATATATCGATACGGTCTACGGCAGCAAGGCCGGCCCTTTCGTTTTTATTGTTATGATATGTTGCATGTGGTTATGATATGTTAGTTCAAAATTGAGGTAGACAGTATGTTATGCTCTTATGATCCATAGGGATTGGTATGTTAGTGACCTGCTAGGTCGGTACTCTAGTTACATGAGATTTCTATGATTGATGATCAATGAGATAGATATGTTTGATGTTTGTATATGCTAGTATATGATAGTATGTGAACATGTTTATTTGCTTGTGGTTGGGTTGAGGTGGTCCTGCTTTGTGTTGAAGGCCAATATACCCTATGAGTGGTCCAGGGAGACTGTTGGCCAACGTAGTGGACCAGTCATGCCGAAGGCTCGGGATAGATTCAGACAGACTATAGGCCCGATAGGGTGATACAGTCAGGCCAATGGCCCAATATGCATGTTGATTGATTGATTATTACTATTATGGTATTGCCAGTGTGGTATTGGTGTTTTGGGGGTAGCTCACTAAGCCCTCAAGCTTACAGTTTTCAGTTTATTGTTTTAGGTACTTCAGGAGATCGTGGAAAGGAGAAGGCATGATAGTATCGCTCCTCATCCTTATGATATGATTTTGGGACACTCTGATGGAAAATGATTTGAAAACATTTTGTAAACAATGCTATGTAGTTTTTTATGTATGATTGAAAAAGTTCAAATTTGGCATAAAATTTATGGTTGTTACAACGATCAGGAGGCCCCAACAGTGCCTGAGGTTATCGGCCAGGAGGGGCCAGTGTTGACAGAGGATCGAGTTAGAGAGATCATCCGTGAGGAGGTGATCGAGGTTGTCTGGGGACAGATTCCGGAGTTCTTTGGGTCTACCAAGACCGCTATGCTGAAGTACTTCGATGACAGATACGCAACCCTTGCAGAGACAGCTGCCGTTGCAGCTGCATCAACTATAACAGCGATAGGAGGACGAATAGGAGCCAGTCGGGGCTTCCAGTACAGGGACTTCGATAACACAAAGCCCCTTACTTTTGATGGGACTCAGGACCCCATCAAGGCTATGAGGTGGGTTTCCGATGTGGACGGATGTTTCTTTACTTGCTCATGTCCTACTGACCAGAAGGTCAGGTGTGCTCTGAAACTACTTAGGTCTAGAGCCAATGACTAGTAGAGGTTAACGACAGGATTGTACACTGATGATTAGAGAGCTGCTGTTACTTATGAGCAGTTCTGGGATATGTTTCACACCCGATACATTCCACAAGTTGAGCGGGAATGTTTGGCTCAGGAGTTTTTGAGTTTGAGACAGGATGGGGAGTCCGTGATGGAGATTACCTGTATGGTAACGGAGAGGGTGATGTTTTGCCTAAAGTTCTCTTTCGAGCAGGCTCAAATGACTCGTTATTTGAGCACGCCCAAGATTGACATCCAACAGTTTGTGTATACCCAACAATGTGATACTCTATTGGAGCTATAGGAGACAACGAGGTGGTGTGAGTTGGAGATCGAGCTGCAGTTGAGGGAGTAGCGCAGGCCTCGATACGGTCACAGCTGGCGCCGAAGCGGTCTAAGACCACTGATACCAGGATTTGGGGACAGCCAGGCCGCACTTGTGGGAAGTGCAGAAAGGCTCATTTAGGGACATGCCAATCAGGGAGTGGGTGCCACCGATGTGGCAAGCAGGGCCGTATGGCCAACGATTTCAGGCAACAAACTCTAGCTTTCAGAGTCAAACTTTGTAATTATTTGGAGCAGGTGGGCCATAGGAAAGCCTAATATCCTCTTCTACCCACTAAGCCGGCGTAGGCTTCAGCCCTGGCTATATTCAGGATTTTAGATGGGAGGCCAGTTAAGTTAGAGCCTCTGAAGGCTTAAGGGTGTGCCTTACAGCTTACAGCCGAGGAGGCCAGGGGAGCACCGGATGTGGTTGCTGGTATGTTTCTATCCTTTATCTCATTTATTATATTTGTGTTATGCTTATCAGTTGTACATGTGTTTAGGTACGTTTTTAGTGAACTCCTTGCCTGCATTGGTTTTATTTGATTCGGGTGTGAGTCAGTCTTTCATATCTCAAACATTTAGTAAGGATTTCAGTGTTCCAGTAGGTGAGCTAGAGTGTTCATTACGAGTCTCTATCACCAACAAACACAGAGTTTCATCTTCTTTGGTCTACCGAGGATGCGAGTTGGAGATCTTCGGAATGTCCTTTCCGATAGATTTGATTCTAATTCCCGTGGGGGAAGTATGCGTGATTGTGGGGATTGACTAACTTAGTCGATTCAGTTCCATGATAGATTACGAGTGTCACACCCCCAAACTGGAATGGTGGAAACGTTCGGGGGCGGAGGACGTTATGTTCAGTATCATAACCATAGTGAAGAAAGTAAACACAACCATCATGAATATAATTTAATAGGTTACATCGTTGCAAAATACATGTTTCCAAATAAATTGCATATGATGTCAAAATAGTTTAAAATAAATGTACACCTTAGCGTCTTGCCTTCAAAAGTCTTGTGGTTACCTGTATTACTGATTACCTGAGAATACAATTTGTTTTTGAAAGAGTATTAGCATTAAAGCTGGTGAGTTCATAAGCAATTTATGAATGAAAAATGAATGTTGTTCAATAAAGTTTTATTATGAGTTTGTTTCCAAAAAGGATTATTATAGTCTTAACTGAACCAAGACTTAGCATATGTGAGTAAATCATCATATTTATATGTGGTTTTATATGTAAATAAAACTCCTTTTTGTGAAATCCTTAAATTCCCGTGAACGACGTGTTTGTTAATTTCCCATGTGAGTTGTTATAACCATACTATGACTCGAAGACCTCGTACTCAACGTTCTTCAAGCATCAGAATGTTATGACACTTGTCACCCCAGACCTGCCGGTCTAGCTATTGCAAGCAGCTCAGGTGCGGTTTGTCAAACCCAATATAGATCTATAAATAACTATCACGTTCTCCCTACAAGAGATTCTGGCTATAAATACAGGAATTTTTTGTAGTACTAAAGAGTACTCCGAAGATGAATGTCTCACAAATTTAATCATTAACATGTCAACTTCAGATCTGAGCTCTCTTGGGTCTCTAAGTCCATAAAGTTTCTAGCTTTTGCAAGTATGAGACTCTCCTTAAGAGCAAAACTCCATCACAAGCTTGGATTTGTCATTATGGGTCTTTAGATCCTTGCATGCATGTAAAGTTTGCAACTTTACTTGATAAACATGCCTTGGGGAGTTAGATCGGCAACATGGGACATTATCATGGCTTAAAAAGCATTTGAGTGGATGAAGGACTAAAGGGACTTGACGAGTTGCATGGTCAACTCGACGAGTCCGATGAAGATTGTCGTGGGCTCGGCGAGTCAGTAGAGTGACTCGGCGAGTCAGTTAGGGTTTTCCCAACCTTTGGACAGACATGAACTCGGTGGGTTGCAGGGAAACTCGACAAGTGGGCCAAGAAGTTTACAACTGCAAATATTAGGAACTCGACGTGTCACTCAAGTGACTCGGTGAGTTGATGAGTTATGGAAGGAATTCAGCGAGTGGCTGGTTGTACTCGACGAGTTGAGGTTAATATGGAATGTTGACCTTGACCGTTGACTTTGGCTTTGACTTTGACCAAGGGTTGACTTATTGAATTCTGGGGGGGCATTTTGGGAGATTAAGGATTTATAATTATGGTTCTGTGGTGAATATTGGTGGTGGAGTTTGTGCCGGTGATCTGCGAGTTTGAGTTTATCTTTCGAGTCGACAGTTGCAAGATGAGTTATCATCACTATATCAACAGGGTCTAAGGCACCAAGGTCAGCCCTTTATGGATTGTATCTAGTTTTGGCATGATATCTTTATTACTTTGCATTCTGGTAGTTAGGATGAGGTTATGTTTATTCTTGGTGACGTAGTTAGGTCAGTGTCCTTGTTATAAGATGGTATTATGTGATATGTTGGTATGATCTGTTAGATTGGTATCCTGATAGATAGGATGGTATTAAGTGTTACGTGGTATGATCTGTTTCGATCAGTTTGTTGTCTACGGACTGTTATTTGATTATCTGTTATATGTGCACATGTTTTTTTTGGTGGTTGAGGCTTATCTGCTTAGTGCAAAAGCCAATAGACCTGGGCATTCCAACCTGTTGGTTGTAGGCCATGAGTATTCCATCCCGAGGATAACTGGAATTATAGTGTATGGGTATTCCAACCTATTGGTTGTGGGCCTGGGGGTATTCCATCTCAAGGATGATTAGACTTGTAGTATGATGGCATTCTAACCGATTGGTTGAGGGTCTGGGCAATTTCAACCCGATGGTTGACTGGACCCATAGTATGTTGTTTGTGATTATACGTGTATTATCGTAGGTATGGGTATTTTTTTTTTTTTGGGGGGGGGGGGGGGGACTCACTAAGCTTTCAGGCTTACAGTTTTAGTTTCTTGTTTTAGGTGCTTCTGAAGATCGCGGGAAGGCGAATGCATGATCGTACCGCTTCTCCTCCTGTTATGATTTTTGTGATTTGATACTGTGATACTCTGATATTTATTAATTTTTAAAACAAACTACGTAATGTTATTTGGTCTTACATGTTTTTAAGAAAGTTTAAATTTGGCATGCTTTTTATGGGTGTTACAAGGAGAAATTCTTGGGTTAAAACATAAAGACATGGATCTTGAAACAGTTGATGACTGTGAACAAGATTACAACACATTAATTAAATGGAAAGAACAACATCCAAAAATTACAAAGTCTGCTCAAGCACCGGTAGATCTTATAGAACAATCGCAAATTGCAAATGAGATGTTTGTGCTAAACTTCATTGTACTTTTTGTGAACTCAATCATAAAGAAAACGACATCTGGATACATAGAAACAAGATCTTTGCTGAAGTTGACTAAAGTTGAGAATAAAGAAAATATCAATTGGTGCAAGTATATTAATCACACATTGGTGAAAAGTAAAAAAATTTGGAAGACAAATTGTAAAAACAGCTACTATGTTGGACCATTACCATTTCTAATTGTAAGAATAATTTAAACTGATTTAATTTCTCATAAAAATAAAAATATGTAATACTAATGTTAATTAAACTTGTGTTGTTTTCATGTATCTTGTAGCTTCTATATGTAAATAGAACTCAATATGTTCAACAATAGTTCATTAACAGAAGAATAAGACCACTTCACTTCTGGAACTATGGGAGACTGAAAACAAGACAAACAAATGAAATTGCAAATGGAAAATTTGGAATGGTACAAATTTTTGAAAATATGGAGAAGATTGAAGATGATGAAGAAGAATATGTTGATTTGGATAAGGAAGAGAGTGAAAAGAATAAAGAGGAATTTTTAGATTCATATGACAATGATGATATTGGTGTAGAGATAATATAACTTATACATAAATCTTGAATGATAAAAATACATAAAATATATAAAATTCATATAAAAACAATAATCAAGATACTATGAAAATATTCTTACTATATGAATACAAAAAGTAATGATTAAGTTGTGAATTTTAATATTGAAAATGAATTGATTGTTGATATTAATATTAATAAACTATGAATAGAATTTTAACATTTAGATATAAAACATAACACATGAAAACACATGGTTAATTAAAAGGTGAATTAGCTATTAAGTTGTGAATATCATAAAATAAAATATTACTTTTTTTTTATTGTAACCTTGTTAATTATGAATCAACAAAATACATACACCACATGTATTTTGCTTGATAATAGAAAAAGTTTAAAAATTATAAAATAGAAAAATTAATCATTGTACTATGAAATTATTGTTACTATATGAATACACAAAATAATGATTTAGTTGTTAATATAATAATTAAAAATGAATTCATTATTGATATTAATATATACTAAACTGTGATTAGATATTTAATATGTGAATATAAAACATAACACATGTTTAATTAAACTCTGAATCAATTGTGAATTTCATAAAATAAAATATAACACATTATTAGTTCGTTTTATTGAAATCTTATTTATAATAAACTAACAAAAAATATACAATACAAGGATTTTGCTTAATGATAGAAAAAGATTACAAAATGGTATTAACTTACAAAAAAGAGAATGGAAGATACATTAGTGAAGGCAAAAGAAAAATATGCAGATGGTATAACAATTAAAAGATGGCTTGTGAAATATGAGAGTTTATTCAATAAGCATATTGGTGAAACATCAAAGTGAATGAAAATGAAGTTCAAGTTGAAAAGAAAATAGAAGAATCAGAAGATGAAAATCCGAAAAATGATATTGCATTTCAAAAAGAAATCATTTTGTACACACTGAAAGAGAATCAAGTACAACACATTGAAGTTGAAAACACAGTGAATGCAAAAGAAGCTGAAGAAATGGTTGTGGACCAAACAACAAGCATATAACAAGAAATTCAAGAAGAAGCAGGAGGAGGAAATCAAAGGAAAGGAAAAGAAAAAAATTGAAAAACCAATGGATGCAGAACAACATCAAGAAATGGTTATGTATCATACAACAGCCACGCACGAAGAAATTGAAGAAGAAGATAGAGTCAATACAACTCAGATTACACCATCACTTACTGATTCCCAATCTATTCCAACTTCATCCGCTTTCTCACCAATATTAGAGTCAACAACAATTTATGCTTTGGTTGACAAAGTTGTTGAAGAAATCTTAAACAAAAATTCTTTAACTACAACTCCAAAACAAAAACAAGATTAAATAACTTGCACACTATCCGTTCAAAAACCATCTTCTCAACCATATTTTTCACTTGGACTAAGCCCAAATATCAAATATGATGTAAACTCTCTAAAGCCTGCTACAAGATCAAGCAAAGATCAAAAATAGAAAAATAGAGAACAAAATAAAGATGAAAAACAAGTTTAAACAAAAAAAGAAGGAGGAAACAATGGGAAAGGAAGAGAAATTTTTGTTGAAGACATACATGAAGAAAAAAGGATCAGAAAAGCAAAAGGAGAGATCATTCCAACATAAAGTTACTTCACTCATTCAAGTGGTCGACAGTGGAAGCAAAAGACATGATATTTAATGAAGAGATACTAACTGCAAACTCAATATTTTCAATGCAAAGGAACCACAAGTAAGTACATATTTTTAATTATAATTTAACTAAAATTAATTTATGATTCAAAAAGTATTTTTTTAGAAAAATTCACAACTTAATATATATATACATATATATATATATATATATATATATATATATATATATATATATATATATATATATATATATATATATAGGGAAATCATATTCAGAACAAGAAATGGGGATGCAATAGAAAGAATTTTCTTTGAAACATTAATCCCAGATGCCTACATCCACCACAAAGTCATTGATTGCTGGTTGATTACGTTAAATGATGAGGAGAGGAGAAAACAAAAAGGATCTCCATTAATATTCTATTTTCCAACAATAATCATAGTAAGTAACATTTATATTATGTGTATATATATATATATATATATATATATATATATATATATATATATATATATATATGTTAATAGATTAAAATAATTCTAACAAAATAAAATATTTAATATATGTAACTAGACTGAAGACATGATTAATAAGGATATACCAATGGAGGACAAATGTACAATATTTAATCAAAAAGCAATAGAAGCAATGAAATTCCATCCGTATGCACATGATTTAGTAAACTGGGATTTGTAAGTTACAACAATCTTATATATATATATATATATATATATATATATATATATATATATATATATATATATATATATATATATATTGTAAGAACGCAATTTTCACGACCAAAAAATTTCATTTTTAAATCAACACGTTAGAAAACATTTGTGAATAACATCCTTTAATTCCATCATTTCATAAACATATTTCGTGTCCGAAAACCAAAACACGAAAACAACCATATAATATTGTCAGAGTACAAATCCCAAAATAACTCATGGTGCGGAAAACAATGTGCGTGTATGATGTGCCGCTACTACGCCAGCTCCTTCCCCTTCGAAGAGGAGGTACCTGAAAACAAAACTGTAATCTGTAAGCACGAAGATTAGTGAATTCCCCCATAATACCACATACCATACAATCATATAATGAACAACTAGGAGATACGGGCCTTGCCCACACTCATGGAGATACGGGCCTCGCCCACACTCCGCTATTTGGGATATACGGGCCTCGCCCACACTCTGCTATCTGGGAGATACGGGCCTCGCCCACACTCCGCTATCAGGGAGATACGGGCCTCACCCACACTCTGCTATCTGGGAGATACGGGCCTCACCCGCACTCCACTATCTAGGAGATACGGGCCTCACCCACACCCCGCTACTAAACCATAATATACAAGTATCACACAGACAACGAGTATAAGCAATTCGACCACACTAGCATATATCATCATCAGAATGAACTAAGAGATACGGGCTCTGCCCACACTCCGATATTATCATATCGTCTATACATGCCGACCTTGGTGCCTTAGACCTGTTCCTACTGGAAGGAAACTCACCTCGAAAAGTAGCTGCTAAAAGTCTACTTGCTAAGCGTCTGACTGCTGAACCGGTAATCCTCTGGCTATAAATCATAAACATAGATTAGACACTCATAAACACCCTTAGGTCAGATGGCTGACCCACCCCTAGTCCAATGTCAACTTGTTGGTCAAAGTTAACTTCCATTTGACTGGACTCACCGAGTCATGGCACAGACTCGTCGAGTTCTTCTCCTACTCACCCGGTCCTACTCGAAAAGTCCCTCTTCTCACTCACTGAGTCACCCTTAACTCACTACTTGGGACGAAAGAACCGACTCGCGATCCGACTCGTCGAGTCCCAGAACAACTCGCCGAGTCCCCACGAGCAGATCTCCTACTCTCTTCCAAATCCTCACCAGAGCATCCTTTATGAGGATTTGGGTTTTTGGGACTATTGCTACACGTTAAATTGCTAATTCCGCGTGAAGATACCAAGGGTTGGACCTTCAACACCTAAACCCCTCTTACACAGTAACAGTTCATATGACTCGTCGAGTTTGAACAACAACTCATCGAGTTCCAGGCAGTCTTCATAGGACTCGCCGAGTTGTTCATCCAACTCGTCGAGTCTAAGACCATCTTCATAGAACTCGCCGACTTCTACTTTAGGACTCGCCGAGTCCCTTCGACCCACTTCCCATACAGACCAAAAATGAGACGTGCAACGCTTCCAAACCATAGATCTATGTTCGTAGGGCATGCTTATCACGTAAAGTTGCAAAATTTACGTGCATGCATGGCCCTATAAGCTCCAAAAGGCAAATCCAATCTCTTTATGAGGTCATACACTCAATAGGGACCTCAATCACTTCAACCATAAAGACTTTATACTTCTAATACGTCCATAAGGTCTAGATTTTAAGTCTTTTCGGATCATAGAGCACAAACACATGGAGTTTGGTGTTTTAGGGCTTGAAAACCACCAATTAGGGACAAAAAAGGGGATCTAATGAACTAGTGATCAAGGTAGGAACTTTTCTACCTGAATGGAAGTCTCTTGCAGGGTAGATGTTGGATCTACTTCCCCTCCTTGCACTCTTCCACCTCCTTCTTCTTCTTTTAAGCTTCAAACTTCCTTCACAAGGCCAAAATCACTCACAAGGACAAAAAGGGGCTAGAGTTTCGCTCTACAGCTCTTTTGGAAGTGTAAGGGACAAGGGAGGCCGAGTTAGAGTCTTTAAATAGGGTGCAAACACCCGGGATAGGGTTTCTACCCAAACATGGTCTACTCGCCGAGTCCAGGAACTGACTCGCCGAGTCCAAGGCTTAGACTCCGCGTCTCATCCTGCTTCTTCTCGGCGAGTTGAAGGACCAACTCACCGAGTCCAAGGCAAAATACATTATTTTAAGAAGTATTAGTTACAAGGAATACGTACTAGGAACCAGGTGCTACAAATCTCCCCAATTATTTTAGACTTTGTCCTCGAAGTCTATTGCTCGATCCTGAAACAGCTCGGGGTAGTGCTCCATCATCTCTTCAACCGGCTCCCAAGTCCACTCCGATCCCTTCCGGTGCTGCCATTGCACCTTCACGAGTTCCACCCTCTTGTTCCTCAGATCCTTCGACTTCCTGTCGAGGATTTCCATTGGCCGATCGATGTAATTCAGGCTGTCATCAACCTGAATATCCTCCAAAGGCACCACTGCCGAGTCGTCCACCAAACACTTCTGCAACTGTGAGACGTGGAAAGTGTTATGGATCTGGCTGAGTTTGATTGGCAGATCCAACCTATATGCCACCTTGCCCACCCGGGCTACAACCCTGAATGGCCCGATATACCTTGGGCCCAACTTGCCTCGCTTTCTGAATCGGATGACGCCTTTC